CGCTGTGGCGGCGGCCGAGCCCGCCGCCGACGAGGCGGACAACGTGGCCGAGGCGCGCGCGTGGGTCGACGCCTGGAAGGCGCGGCAGGAGGGCGGCAGCAGCAGCAACGGCAGCAACGGCGCCGACGCCGACGCCGGCGCAGGCGGCGCCGGTGCCGAGGCGACGGAAGACGACGGGGTGGTGGTCGTGGAGGAGTCAAACCCGTTTGACCTCGGGAAGATCTTCTCGCTGTTTGGCGGCAAGAAGTAATCTGGGGGCGCGAACGCGATGCTGACGTCGTGCGGTGCCCCAAAGCTGTGGCGGGGGCGATGGGATGAGCGTCAGCTGGTGGTTCTTTGGGCGGTCATGGCTAGATCTGATGATATCTGATCTTGGTACGAGGGGCGCCCTGCCAGACTCCAACACTGAGCTACAGCACCCACACCTGCAAGCTCGGGCCCACACGTCCCGTGCTACAGGGCTGCAGGGCAGCCCCAAGCACTGCTGGCTAGGGCGCCTGCTATCGTTTTGCAGCCTGGCTGTCCTGCGCACTGTTGAGGAGCCCAGGCTCAGCCCTAATTTTGTCAACACCACCGAGCGCCCGCCGCCGCCGCGGTCAACACTTTTTGAGCAGGGGTGCCTCGCCTTTGTTACGCAGCTTTGTCAGCGGCACGGGGGGAGCTGGCCTGCGCCACTGCCGTTTTTGAGGGGAGATGCTTTTGGCGCACTCGCAAGCGCGGGGCGCAGGACTGGCCCCAGACTGCAATATTTAGTGAAAAACGCATGTAATTGAGAGTGCGGAGCCCAACCCCGCGGATCCACGTGCCATCGCTGCGACCTGAGTGAATGTGTTGATTTCTGCGGCACATCCCGGTCGACCTGGCTGTCTCAACAGCACTGCTGAGCAGAGTGGCGCCAGCTCACCTGCTTACACTGCATGGGCTTCGTTTCAAAAACATCATATGCAGGCAGACACAAAAGAATGCTGACAGACAGCAAGTGCGGGGTGCTGTGGTGCCTCCAAAGGCTAGTGATGTCAGCACACACTTGGACAGGACAGCAACCCTGAAAAGGCATGCAGGTGAAAATGCTGACACGTCGCATGCAGGTACCTGCTTTCCAGAAGGGCGGAGAGATGCGGCCATGAGTGCGGTCGACACACACCCCGCTGCTGGATGGCTGCGCCAGGGTGCGGCAGCGAATCTTTGAGCAGGTACATGCGAAATCCAAGGCCCCTCCCTGCGAACACGGCGTGCAGGTGCGAATGAACTGATGAACAGAGGGGTGGCCAACGGCAGGGGCGGCCAAAGGATTATTGTCCTCGCCCGAGGCCCATTATTGCTGCAAAGTCTGCGCAGCGGTGTCATTGTGCAGCACCTGCGCGGCGGCGGTTGAAAGTTGGGCCTGAAGGAAGCCGCTCAACCCGGAAAGGCCACGGGTTGCGATTGGGGAAGTGCGGCGAGCGCTGTGTGGCAGTGGGGCGCGTTGTTGGGACAAGGCTCGCGGTGGTTGTCATGTCCTAGGTCTGTAACGCTCGGGATTGCGAGCGCCGTGAAGTTGATGAGCGGCCACAAGGCCAAGAACATGTCCGGGGTGCGGTATTGGGCAAAGAGATTGCTGGAAGGAATCCGCCGAGCGGCAGCTCGGCGGCAATAAGGCATGGTCACCCGGCGTGCCGGTGCCGGCGATCAGCGGCGGCAGGCAGCGTTGGAGGGGTCATGCATGATGAAACTGCATTTAGCGTGGGGTTTATGCCGGGAGTGCAAAAAAGGGTGGCTCGGGGCCGGGGCAGCTGCTGGCTCCCATGAGTGCATGGGAGCGTGGCGCACGCGTCGGAAGGTAGGCGGGTGATAGCAAACCGGCTCAAAACAACAAGCAAAAGGGCGCCGAGCGGCGGGGCGGCTGTCTACTGGGGAAGGCGGCACGCAACTGGTACAG